TTTTGGTAAGTGTGTATATTTATCTAACTTTATTTGAAAATGTCATTACACAAAAAAAGTTACAATATTAATTACATGCAGGGTACAAGGCTGTTTGTCACAAGTTGAACAGCTCCTCAGATGGCGGAGATTGCGGAGCTCATATATATATATATATATATATATATATATATATATATATATATATATATATATATATATATATATATATATATATATATATATATATATATATATATATATATATGCAATTGACGATCACAAAACACTGATCATTTTATGCGGAAAATCCACAGAGAAATGTGAAATGAGGTGAACGTTTCGGCTTTGTTAAAGCCTTTGTCAACACCAGACTGACTCAAGTCTTGAGTCAGTCTGGTGTTGACTTGAGTCAGTGTTGACTTGAGTCAGACTGACTTGAGTCAGTCTGGTGTTGACAAAGGCTTTAACAAAGCCGAAACGTTCACCTCATTTCATATTTCTCTGTGGATTTTCCGCATATATATATATATATATATATATATATATATATATATATATATATATATATATATATATATATATATATATATATATTTAATTAATAACATTAACAAAAAATTCTTAAAAACGTGGGAAACCGACAAAATAATGTCTAGATCGTCGATATTTGGATTATATCACATAAAGCAAGGAATGATGAAAATGTCAGAAAAATATTGCTAAATTTGATAAATTTGAAAGCAAAAAAAAAAATGCAACAAAACTAGGTAAAAAATGCAAAATATTGCGAAATTCTGAGACTTGTAGGTCAAATCACATATCGTGAGAAAACGTAAAATTGTATCGAAAAATTAGTAAATTTAATTATTTTTACTTGAAATCACAAACATGGAAAACGTGAAAAAACGGCAATATAATAAAAAATTTGCTGATTTTTACTTCAAATCATAGGGCGAGATTTCGTGTTATTTAGATTATTAAAATGTACATGAAAATGTCTTTTCCAATACAAATAATACTGAAATATTCAAATATGCAATAAAAACATCATATCTCTCTTAATCTATATCTCCCACTATTTTAAGGAGGTGCAAATGATTGATTGAAAATAAAATATTGAGGATAAATTTGACATCAATTTTAGGTTAGCATCATATTTATTATATGTTTATTTAATTATTAACATTATCTGAAAATTCATATAAATGTGGGAAAACACCAAAATATTGCCCAAATTGTCTATATTTGGTTAAAACACATAGAGCAAAGAAATATGAAAAAAGTAAATATATTTCTAAATTCGATGATTTTTTTAATTAATCAAATGCAAGAACACTAGTTAAAATATACAATACATTGCAAAAATTGCGAGGTTAGTTGTCAAATCCCATATTGTGAGAAATCATGAAATAGTATGGAAATATTAATAAATTCGATTGTTTTTGCCTAAAATCACACATCATGGAAAAACGTCAATATATTACCAAATTCGATGATTTTTACATCAAACCAAAAGGCGAGATTCATGTTAGTTGTAATATTAAAATGCATATGGAAATGTTGTTTCCATTAAAAATTATAAAAATCAATGTTTTCATTAGAATTAACTATTTCCCAGTAAGCATAAAACGTGTTTTGATGTTTTTATTTTGGTAGCAGAAAGGTGACACTGTATCAGTCTATATAAAGTTGTCATTATTTGTAGGTAACCAGCAAGGAAAACCTGATATTATACTGACGAATGTTGAATGCAATATCTTTCACAGTTGAATTCTCCCAGGTAATGATGTGGGTTCAGATCACATACCTGTTATTCTCCACCTCCAAGCATCTCCCTTTAGAATTCTGGGACGCCCCAGACCCAAACTAAACACGCTTCGACTTCGCCAATATATGGAGTTCCTTGGCACGGATCCAACCGCTGATCTTGACAATCAACCGGTCCAGGACATTTACACAGAAATTGCCTCCATACATTCTCTCATTACTGAAGCAACTATGATGAATTGTGACCTAACTAACACCAGAATAATTCAGCAATACAAACCGACCAGAGAGATCAAGGACAAAATGAGGCATTACCAGCAGGAATGTGTGAGGCGCCTACACACAGGCCAGCCATCCTTCCAAATTATTCAGTCCCTCAGACGTGAAGTCTTAGGTCTCACGCTCCTACACAAACGTCATATTTGGGGTATTCTAGTCAACCAAGCAAACCAGTACAAGAGAGAACCTGCCAAATTCTGGGGAAAGATCAGACAACTCCTAGGATCGTCAAAGACACCGCTGTCGCATCTCAACTATACATATACTGATGACAACAACGGGGTAATAACCACCAGAGTGGAAGATGGACACCTGCAGGCTAATCTTAGGGGATTAGTTTGGGAGGAAATCTTTACAGAAAACAATAGCCAAATCAACAATGACAACCTCCGTACAGTCAACCAATGGGTTGCTGAAAATGTGGAGAACCTGTCTAGCAGGCCTCTAGTGGACACCACACTCCTTGACCCAGAGCACCCGATCACCCGACCCATCACCCTACGGGAGCTGCTAGAAGTATTAAAGAAAACGAGGAACAAAGCGCCAGGTTTATCAGGAATAACAGTCAACTAACTGAAGCTTCTGCCTCTCAACTAACTTGCAGTCCCTGCTCAATGTCTTCAACGCCATCCTCGTCTCAGGCCACTTCCCACAGGCATTTAAAACTGCCAAAATGATCTTTATTCCGATGCCAGGCAAAAGCAGACATGTCCCTGGAAACTATAGGCCTATCTCCCTGTTGGAGTCGACAGGAAATTGCTTTGAGAAAATGCTCTCAAATCGTATTAACTACTACATGGAGTACCACCACCTGGATACTGAAAAACAGTTTGGTTTTAGGAACCCCAGATCAACACAAAATGCCATCAATATAATTTATGATGCAGCAGACAGTATCAGGAAACAGCATTAATATCAACCAGAGATGTCAACAAGGCCTTTTATAGTTTATTGCATATTGGTCTGCTCTTCAAGCTGCAATCCACACCACACCACAACTGGACCCTTTTAAGACTTGTAAAAAAAAAATCTAAGATAAATAATTCCACTGTTTAGCAACAAGGAAGCTTCAGCCTTTTCCCCGACTGCTGGAGTTCTTTAGGGATCGTGCATCAGCCCACTCCTCCTCAATCTCTTTGTAACGATTTGCCACGCCCTATTTATAACGACACTATTATCACTCAGTTCGCGGACAATGTCATTCATGTAGTGTCGTCGATGCCTGCTGGCCAAGGAACTAAACACGAGTCAGTCATAAGGAAGACGAAAGAGGAACTAGGAGCCACAGCAAGTTGGGAACAAGACTGGAAAATCGTGACAAACACTAACTAGATTGAATTGTGCTCGGTGGGCAGCTGGGCTAGTTCACTCGGGGTCATCAAAATCGGTGGCATGTTAATACAGGTTCAGAACTCCACTACAATTCTGGGCAATGGAATATCGATACTTTTGAATTCCACAGAGCATATCAGTAAAAAAGTAGCCTTAGCCAAAGCACTACTAGCTCGGCTGTACCGATTCAGGCAAGCTCCACAACATGTGAAGCTACACCTATACAGAATGCTTATTCGATCAATCCTAGAATACCCATACACCCCGCTTGCTCTTACTAACAGTCAAATATGTTGAAACTTCAAAGAGTTCAAAATAGAGCACTCAGATTTGTAGCATGAGTGACACTTGCCGACAAAATTAGGAATGACAGTCTCCACACTCAATGAAAGATAGAACCGTTGAATAGACGCCTCCACAAACTCCCAGTAACGCAGTTATACAAAATGAAGAACACTTACCGAATCGTGACGATCCCTTTACGGCATTTAACACTACCAACTATGAGATACGAGATCAGCCCCACAGAACAAGGAGGATGTAACTACAACAAAACGTCAGGCGGTATATCCACAACAGGAATTACCAACGGCCCAGGATACTTAGTAACCTACCACGTGATGAGGAATGGGAACCTCCTGATCCAATATATATATAACAGGCACGAACTATGAGTTAACAAGTCAACATCTGACACCAATACCTCTACCAACCAGGACAAAATCATTGTATACATCAACTACAAGCTCCTCTACCAACCACACATCTGCAAGTCACCACAGGACTGCTCTTCGTATGCGGCACCAAGACTGGAACTCTGTCCTCGCATGGTAACTTCTCTCCACCTGTTGTGCAACAGCTACAGCTTGCTGCTACTGGCAGCCAGCAATCATTCACAAAAAAAAATCCTCACCATCATATATGAGTGCAGTTGTGCCTCTCCATCAATTCACACATCAACTCACACACTTTTATTATCACTAGAATCACTATCAGACGATCCACTGTCACTGGTACTACCCCAACCATCACTACCAGAGCTTGCACTGTCACTGGTATTACCACTATATCACTACAAGAGCTACCAGAGTCACTGTTACTACCCCAACCAACATTACCAGAGCTACCACTCTCAGTGCTACTACCCTCTACAATCACTACCAGAGCTACCACTGGCACCGGTACTATCCCTACCAGAGCTAGGACTGGCACCGGTACTATCCCTACCAGAGCTACCACTGGCACCGGTACTATCCCTACCAGAGCTACCACTGGCACCGGTACTACCCCTACCATCACTACCGGAGCTTCCACTGTCACCGGTTCTAGAACTACCACCGTCTCTGGTACGACCCCAACCATCACTACCATCTTGAGGTTATCTTGAGATGATTTCGGGGCTTTAGTGTCCCGCGGCCCGGTCCTCGACCAGGCTTCCACCCCCAGGAAGCATCCCATGACAGCTGACTAACACCCAGGTACCTATTTTACTGCTAGGTAACAGGGGCATAAGGTGAAAGAAACTCTGCCCATTGTTTCTCGCCAGCCCCTGGGATCGAACCCAGGACCACAGGATCACAAGTCCAGCGTGCTGTCCGCTCGGCCGACCGGCTCCCCTATACCGACCATAGCTATCAATGTCACTGGTAATACCCCCTATCATCACTAACAGAGCTAACACTGCCATTGGTACTTTCGCAACAATCACTACCAGCGCTACCACTGTCAATGGTACTACCCCTACTATCACTACCAGAACTACCACTGTCACTGTTACTAACCCTTCCATCACTACAACTGTCATTGGTACTACCACAACCATGACTACTAGAGCTACCACTGTCACTGTTACTACCCCTACAATCACTACCATTCTCACTGGTACTACCTATCACTTCCAGAGATACCACTGTCAACTACAATCACTACCAGAGCTCCCACTGCCACTGGCACACTGGTACTACCCCTACACTCACCACTAGAACTTCCACTGTCACTGTTACTACCCCTGATATCACTACTAGAGCTACCACTGGCATTGCCATACTACCCTTACCATCACTACACTAGAGCTACCACTGGCACTGATAATACCCCAGTCATTACTACTAGAGCTACCATTGTCACTGGTACTACCCCAAGCATCACTACCAGAGCTACCACTGACACTGATAATACCCCAAAAATCACTACCAGAGCTCCTACTGTCACTGGTACAACGACAAACATAACTACCAGAACTTCCACTGTCACTGGTACTGCCCCAGACATCACTGTCACAGCTACCACTGGCACTGATTAAGAGCTACCACTCTTACCATCACTACTTTCACTACCACTTACAATGTTACAACCCCTTCCATCCCTACCGCTGTCACTGGTAATACCTCAATCCTGACTACCAGAGCTAACGCTGTCATTGATACCACCCTAACCATCGCTACCACAGCTACTACTGTCAGTGTCACTACTACCTGCACCCATCACCTCCACTTGGGCCACTATCTGCACCCATCACTTCCATCCGAGCCACTATGGATGCTATCAGCATCCATCACCTTCACGTGGACCACTCCCTGCACCCATCACCTACACTCGAGTCTTTACCTCAACCCATTACCTTCGCCTAGGCCACTATTAGAACCCATAACCTCATCTTGGGCCAATATCAGCACCCATCACCTTCACTTGAGCCAATATCTGCACCCCATCACCTCCACTTGGGTCTCTACCGTCACCCAATACCTCCAATTGAGCCTCTACCAGCACCCATCACCTTCACACTTGGGACACTACCAGCACCAACTCCCATCACCAACACTTGGGACACTACCAGCACCCATCATCACCTTCTTGGCCACTACCAGCACCCATCTCTACCAGCACCCATCACTACCAGCACCTATCACTACCAGCATCCCATGGGAGCCGGTCGGCCGAGCGGACAGCACGCGGGTACTTGTGATCCTGTGGTCCTGGGTTCGATCCCAGGCGCCGGGGAAAAATAATGGGCAGAGTTTCTTTCACCCTATGCCCCTGTTACCTAGCAGTAAAATAGGTCCTGGGTGTTAGTCAGCTGTCACGGGCTGCTTCCTGGGGGTAGAGGCCTGGACTAGGACATGGCCGCGGGGACACTAAAAAAAAAGCCCCGAAATCATCTGAAGATAACGAATCACCTCCAATTGAGCTATTACCAGCACCCCATTACCTCCACTTGGGTCACTACAACCAAGCTACCACGGTCACCGGTACTACCCTTACCATCACTACCGGAGCTACCACGGTCACCGGTACTACCCTTACCATCACTACCGGAGCTACCACAGTCACCGGTACTACCCTTACCATCACTACCGGAGCTTCCACTGTCACCGGTACTACCCTTACCATCACTACCGGAGCTACCACGGTCACCGGTACTACCCTTACCATCTACAGAGCTACCACTGTCACGGAGCTACTACACGGCTCACACGGTACTACCCTTACCATCACTACCGGAGCTTACCACTGTCACCGGTACTACCCCTACCATCACAACCAGAACTTCCCACTGTCATCTAGTATGAACCCATCATCACTATCATAGCTATCAGTGTCACTGGTAATACCTCTATCATCACTAACACACCTACCACTCTCACTGGTACTGTCACAACAATCACTACCAGAGCTACCACTGTTAATGGTACTACCCTTGCTATCACTACCAAAGCTACCACTGTTACTGTTATTAACCCTTCCATCACTACAACTGTTAATGGTACTACCACAACCATGACTACCAGAGCTACCACTGGCACTGATAATACCCCAACCATTAATACCAGAGGTACCATTGTCACTGGTACTACGACTAACATAACTACCAGAGCTTCCACTGTCACTGGTACTGCCCCAGTTACCACTGGCACTGATACTACTCCTACCATCGTTACTATCACTACCACTTTCAATGTTTCTACCCTTATCATCCCTACCGCTGTCACTGGTAATATCCCAATCATGACTACCGGAGCTAAAGCTGGCATTGATACCACCCTAACCATCGCTACCACAGCTACTACTGTCAGTGTTACTGCTACCTGCACCTATTACCTCCAACTGACCCACTAACTGTACCCATCACCTTCACGTGGACCACTACCTGCACCCATCACCTACACTCGAGCCTTTACCTCAACCCATTACCTTCTCTTAGGCCACTATTAGAACCCATCACCTCATCTTGGGCCAATATCAGCACCCATCACCTTCACTTAAGCCAATATCTGCACCTATCACCTCCAATTGAGCATCAACCATCGCCCAATACCTCCAATTCAGCATCTACCAGCACCCATCACCTTCACTTAGGTAACTACCAGCTCCCATCACCTTCACTTGGGTCACTACCAGCACCTACCACCTCCACTTGGGACACTACCAGCACCCATCACCTACACTTGGGACACTACCCACCCACACCCATCACCATCACTTGGGACACTACCAGCACCCATCACCACCTCTTTGGCCACTACCAGCACCCATCACCTCCACGTAGGCCACTACCATTTATAACTAGTTATAAAATAAATAGGTTTACATTATAAATCGTTTAACGTAATACATTATCACTGGCAATTATTATATTTTACAGCGACTTAACAAATCTGTTAAGTGAATAAGTGTCTGGTAATTACATGACAATCCTCTCTTATTAACAATTCTGAAAAATCTTAGTTTGTTTAAACTTTGTAAAATGGTAAAAGTGTCTGGAAACTGAAAATATTAATCGTCATGCAAGTTGTAGTTTTTAACAGTTTGCTTAAACAGTATTACTTGGCCGCGAAAACTTCCTGGATTTTTGTCCGCAGTCATTTGGAATATGAGAGATGAAGTAATGTCATTATCAGTTTATTAAAATTGATAAAAATATTTCTATTCAACAAAGTAGAAAATGAACTATCACTGGCACGACCCCAACTATCACTAACATCAGCTATCACCACTGACACTAGTACTCCCTCAACCACATATCACTACCAGAGCTACCACTGTCACTAGTACTACTCCCCTCACTACTAGAGCCAACCACTGTTTCATACCAATGTCAACCATCACTACCACTGTCACTTTTACACTACCCCTCAACCATCACTACCGGAGCTTCACTACTGTCATTAGTACTACTACCCTACCATCACTGTTACTAGAACTACACTGTCACTGTCAATATAACCCCTACTATCACTACCATAGCTATCAATGTCACTGGTCATACCCCCTATCATACTAGAGCTAACAGAGCTACCACTGGCACTGATACTTTCGCAATAATCACTACCAGCGCTACCATTGTCAATGGTACTACCCACTACTATCACTACCAGAGCTACCACTGTCACTGTTACTAACCCTTCCATCACTAAAACTGTCATTGGTACTACCACAACCATGACTACCAGAGCTCCCACTGTCACTGTTGCCACCTACCTCCTACAATCACTACCACTCTCACTGGTACTACCACAATTATCACTACCACAGCTACCACTGTCAATAGTACTACCCCTACAATCACTACCAGCTACCGTCGTCACTGAATTTACCCATCACCCCAAATATCACTACTAGAACTAACCATTGTCACTGTTACTACCCCTGATATCACTACTAGAGCTACCACTGGCATTAGGTATACGTACCCCAACTATAACACTACCAGAGCTACCACTGGTACCGATAATACCCCAACCATTACTACTAGAGCTACCATTCACAACCAGAACTCACTCTGGTACTACCCCTGGTCATCACTACCAGAGCTACCACCACTAGCACTGATAATACCGGAACAATCACTTCCAGAGCTACTACTGTAACTGGTACTACGACAAACATAACTACCAGAGCTACCACTGTCACTGTTACTCCCCCAGCCATCACTGCCACAGCTACCACTGGCACTGATACTACCCCAACAATCACTACCACTTACAATGTTACAACCCCTTCCATCCCTACCGCTGTCACTGGTAATACCCCAATCCTGACTACCAGAGCTAACGCTGTCATTGATACCACCCTAACCATCGCTACCACAGCTACTACTGTCAGTGTCACTACTACCTGCACCCATCTGCTCCAACTGACCCACTAACTGTACCCATCAGGGGAGCTGGTCGGCCGAGCAGACAGCACGCTGGACTTGTGATCCTGTGGTCCCGGGTTCGATCCCGGGCGCCGGCGAGAAACAATGGGCAGAGTTTCTTTTACCCTATGCCCCTGTTACCTAGTAGTAAAATAGGTACCTGGGTGTTAGTCAGCTGTCACGGGCTGCTTCCTGGGGGTGGAGGCCTGGTCGAGGACCGGGCCGCGGGGACACTAAAGCCCCGAAATCATTTCAAGATAACCTCAAGATATCACCTCCATCTGAGACACTATCAGCACCCATCACCTTCACGTGGGCCACTACCTGCAGCCATCATCTACACTTGAGCTTCTACCTTAACCCATTACCTTCTCTTAGGCCACTATCAGAACCAATCACCTCAACTTAGGCCAATACCACTACCCATCACCTCCACTTGGGCCACTATCTGTACCCATCACCTCCACTTGGGCCACTACCGGCACCCACCACCTCCAATTGGCCACTACCAACACCTATCACCATCACTTGCGAAAATACGCGCACCCATCACCTACACTTGGGACACTACCAGCACCCATCACTGCCACTTTGGTCAATACAACTACACATCACCTCCACTTGGGCTATTACCAGTACCCATTTCCTCCACTTGGGTCACTACTAGCACCCATCACCACCTCTTTGGCCACTACCAGAACCCATGACTTCCACTTGGACCACTACCAGCACCCATCACCACCAATTGGGCCACTACCAGTTATAAAATAAATAATTTTATATTAAAAGTAGTTTTACGTAATACATTATCAGTGGCAATAATTATATTTCAAATTTACTTAACAAATACTTAAGTCGCTTAACAAAGCGACTTAACAAATCTGTTAAGTGAATAAGTGTCTGGTAATTACATGACAATCCTCTCTTATTAACAATTCAGAAAAAAATCTTAGTTTGTTAAACTTTGTAAAAGGATAAAAGTGTCTGGAAACTGAAAATATTAATCGTCATGCAATTTGTAGTTTTTAATAGTAAGCGAACACAGTATTACTTAGTGGCGAAGACGTTCTGGATTTTTGCCCGCAGTCATTTGGAATATGAGAAGTGAAGTATTGCTATTAATTGTTCATTAACATAAGTTTAAATATTTCTGTTCTACATTCTGGAAAATGAACTATCACTGGCACAACCCCAAATATCATTAACAGAGCAACCACTATTACTACCCCATTAATCACTACCACTGTCTCTGGTACTACCCCCAACCTTCATTACCAGAGCTACCACTGGCACTGATACAACCCAAACATCACTACCAGAGCTTCCACTGTCACCGGTACTACCCCTACCATCACTACCGGAACTTCCACTGTCACCGGTACTACCCCTACCATCACTACCGGAACTTCCACTGTCACCGGTACTACCTCTAAATCACAACCAGAACAACCAATGTCTCTGGGACTACCCCTACCCCAACCATCATTACCATAATTATCAATGTCACTGGTAATACCCCTATCATCACTAACAGAGCTACCACTGCCACTGGACTTTCCCAACCATCATTACCATAGCAAACAATGTCACTGGTAATACCCCTATCATCACTAACAGAGCTACCACTGTTACTGTTATTAACTTACTTTCTCTCCTGTCATTACAGGTATTATCTTACCTTCTCTACTGTCATCACTGGTATTATCTTACCTACTCTACTGTCATCACTGGTATTATCTTACCTACTCTACTGTCATCATTGGTATTATCTTACGTTCTCTCGTTCATTACTGGTATTATCTTACCTTCTCTCCTGAAATCACTGCTATTATCTTACCTATTCTCCTGTCATTAGTGGTATTATCTTACCTACTCTTATGTCATCATTGGTTTTATCTTACCCACCCTCATGTCATCACTGGTATTATCTTACCTTCTCTTCTGTCATCACTGGTATTATCTTACCTTCTTTTCTGTCATCACTGGTATTATCTTACCTACTCAACTGTCATCACTGGTATTATCTTACTTTCTCTCCTGCCATCGCTGTTACTAACTTACCTTCTCTCCTGTCATAACTGGTATCATCCTACCTTCTCGCCTGTCATCACTGGTATTATATTACCAACTTTCCTGATTTCACTAGTATTATATTACCGTCTCTCCTGTCATCACTGGTATTATTTTACCTACTTTTGGGCATCACTGGTATTATCTTACGTTCTTTCATGTCATCACTGGTATTATCTTACCTACTCTACTCTCATCACTGGTATTATGGTAGCTACTCTACTGTCATCACTAGTAATATCTTACCTTCAATCCTGTCATCACTGTTATTATCTTAATTACTCTACTGTCTTCACCAGTATTATCTTACCTAGTCTACTGTCTTCACTGGTATTATTTTACCTACCCTGTTCTCATCAATAGTATTATCTTACCTAATCTACTGTCATCACTAGTATTATCTTACCTTCTTTCCAGTCATCACTGGTATTATCTTACTTACACTACTGTTATCACTAGTATTATGTTACCTAATCTACTTTCATCACATACCATCTTTCCTGTCATCACTGGTATTATCTTACCTACTTTTGGGCATCACTGGTATTATCTTACGTACTTTCATGTCATCACTGGTATTATCTTACGTTCTTCATGTCATCACCGGCATTATCTTACGTTCGTTCATGTCATCACTGGTATCTTTCCTACTCTTCTTTCATCACTGGTATTGTCTTACCTACTCTACTCTCATCACTGGTATTATCGTAGCTACTCTACTATCATCACTAGTATTATCTTACCTTCTCTCATGTCATCACTGGTATTATCTTACTTACTCTACTGTTATCACTAGTATTATCTTACCTAATCTACTGTCATCACAGTTATTATCTTACCTACTTTTCTGCCATCACTGGTACTATTTTACGTACTTTACTCTCATCACTAGTATTATCTTTCCTTTTCTGCTGTCATCACTAGTATTATCTTACCTAGTCTACTGTCATCACTAGTATTATCTTACCTAATCTACTGTCATCACTAGTATTATCTAATCTAATCTACTGTCATCACTAGTATTATCTTTCCTTCTCTCCTGTAATCACTGGTATTATCTTACTTACTCTACTGTCATCACTAGTATTATTTTACCTAATCTACTGTAATCACTGTTTTTATCTTACCATCTTTCCTGTCATCACTGGTATTATCTTACCTACTCTCCTATCATCACTGGTATTACCTTATCTTCTCTCCTGTCATCACTGGTATTATCTTACCCACCCTCATGTCATTACTGGTATTATCTTACCTATTCTACTGTCATCACTGGTATTATCTTACCTACTCTCCTATCATCGCTGGTAATAACTTACCTTCTCTCCTGTCATCACTGGTATTATCTTACCTTCTTGCCTGTCATCACTGGTATTATCTTACCTACTTTACTATCATCACTGGTATTATCTTACCTACTTTCCTAATGTCACTGGTATTATATTACCTTCTCTCCTGTCATCACTGGTAGTATCTTACTTACTCTCATGTCATCACTGGTATTATCTTA